TTCCAAGAGAATTATACCAGTCCTAAAAACACAAATTGCGGGCAAGGAACCTAGCCAGGTAGGTCTGGTTAGAATTTCCCAACCTTAGTCTTGAATAATAACCTAAGGACCAGTATACTTTTCAAGCAGAAGGAGATATTAAACTTCTGGGCCTATGTTAGAAACTTCAAGTTCTTAAATATGATGGAAGCCTTGAATATGGAGAAAAAGGCCAAATAAATAGATGAAACTGCTACAGAGGACCCTATATGGCATGCTAGCAAACATTTTTTAAGCACTTACTATATGCCTAGAATTCTACTAAATGGTTTCATATATTATCTCATTTAATCCTCAAAACAACCCTTTTGTTTTTGTTTTTTGGTACTGGGGATCGAACTTGGGTCCTTGGGCTTGTGAGGCAGGCGGCAGAACCACTGAGCTAACTCCCCAGCCCATAACAACCCTTTTGAGTTGGAGTAATTATCTTGCAACTGAGGGAAGTGACAAGGATAGATTAACATGACAATGATCCACAGATTTTAAGTCGAAGAGACTGAATTGGAACTCAGTGCAGATTAAACCCTAAATGTGAGCTCCCAGCCATTCTTATGAAGGATGCTAGGGGGAGCCATTGAAAGGTTTTTAAACAAAAGAGTGGAGTGATCAGATTTGCTCTTCCACAGCCAGGAGGAAGCTGGAGAAAGGGGGTGAATCCGGAAACAGAGGCTGTCAATACATCTGCAGATCCAGTGAGAACAAAGGAGGCAGATTCAAGATTCTTTCAAAGGGGAAACTATCTTGGTGATTACAAGTAAAGGGATAGTGAGAGAGGAAGACAGGATCCTGGCTTGTTGAATCAGCACCTACCAGGAACAGAGGAGCAACAGGTTTCATTAGCTCAGTAAGTATCTGAGAGCATCCCCAAGTGCAAAATACTCTCCTAAAACCAAGAGTCAAGGCTGAAACCATAGTTCGGGTATAGTTTAAAAAGTCTTGAAAGCAAATAATAAAACATTTAAACACAGGGCATATATAAAGTTTGCCACTACTGTCAGCATATCAGTAATTCTAGCACTCAGGATGCTAAGGCAGGAGGATCACCACAAGTTTGAGGCCAGCCTGAACTACAAAGTGAGACCTTGTTTCAAAAAAAAAAAAGTTTGCCACTACAATTAACAGACTTGGCTGAAAGTCCAGTGAAAACATTTTGTGCTATCATCTTTTAAAATATTATTACATGCAGGGGCCAGGGATTTAGCTCAGTGGTGCCGTGGCTGCCTTGCAAGCGCAAGGTCCTGAGTTCGATCCCCAGTACCAATTAAAATATAAATATATATATAGTTATTACATGCATAAAACAAAATAGAAAAAAATTCCAAAATTTTACAATGTCATATTTGAGTTTGACAGATCTTCAATCTCTTACACAACATATAGAAATACTACCCTGTAATTTATGTTGCTTGCCCCTCTCCCTGTAAGTTTATAAGGAAAAAAAACATGTATCTGTTTTATTACCTAAACTATTACACAGATTTAGGGCTTTTTCATCTTACTATCACTACCATAACTGCCAAGAACTTAGCTCATAACCTCCTACTTGACTTCCTATAAAACATGACCTACTTCACACGAGCTTACTTGAGTAACAATTCCTAGACCTTAACCACACCTTTCATCTAAGGATGCTTTCTGTAAATCTTAAGGCACAGCAATTCTGTGCAGATGTGGCAAGTTATTATAATTCTCACTTTACTACAGACTTAGGAAACTGGCCCAGGGGAAGTAGAATAACTTGGAAATAATCACAAAGCCAGATGCCAAAAATAACAACTTTTAGTCGATCCATGAGAAAATATTGCCCCTAGTTGAAATAACATGAAATTTAGTATTAGGAGGAAGCAAAATGCAAAATAATGCTTGAAAGCCAAGTCTTCACTTTTATATGTAAAAACTGACTGAATCCCAGAATTAAGATTCATAAGAACTTTCAAATGAAGCCATTTTTTCATGCCTTACTCATCCAGTGTCAAGGATTATTTAATGAATTACATCTGGCAAGAGTAATTTTCCCCAAAATAATCTTTTATCTTATTAATAAAAGACCCTGGTAGAAATCTGCTGGCACAAGCTCTTAACTAACTTAACTGTTTAAAATCTAATGCCCAGAGTAGTGGTGGCAAACCCATGGCATGCATGCCATGGCCAGCTGTTTGTTTTCACTAAAAGGTTCGCTATCACTGGCCTAGAGCATATATTAGAACAAATATGAAAACATTTCAATTGAACTTTTTTCCTTAAAAAGATATTCTCTACGGGCCCACTGCAATTATGTGTGGATAATAAATTTAAAGTTTTTTGCTGCGCAAGCACGAAGACCCGAGTTCGATCCCCAGTACCAATAAATAAATAAATAACTTTTCTCATCAGTCAGCTATATTTCTCACATTAGGAAATCATTTTCAAGAACTAATAGTCAATATAAGGAATTAAAGTTTTTTAGCCACAACTCACCCTACCTTATATATTTCCAACTATGCTGTTTGACAATTATTTAAAGGCACTGTTTTATTTGGTCATAAAATAAAAGTTTTACATGAGTTAGACACAATACAACCCAAAGTGTAAAAGTGATTTTATGATGTCTATGTGATCATTCTTAAAGGTGCACAAGTCAGAGAAAAATACATTTGACTATTACACAGTAAAGTTTACTTTCCTTAAAGTCAGAACCCATATGTTCATGATTTTACCTTCAAAAACTGATTATGTAGACCGGGGATTTAGCTCAGTGGTTCTGCCGCCTGCCTCACAAGTGCAAGGTTCTGAGTTCGATCCCCGGTACCAAAAAAAAAAAAAACTGATTATGTACTAAGGACAAATAAGAGACAAATGATAAGCGGCAAAAAGCCATTCATCTAGCATGCATGAGGCCACAGGTTCAATCCTTAGTACCACAAAAAATAATTTTAACAGTAAATAGAAATCATTCATGGAACTCAGATCGCAAATTTTCACAAAACCTCATGTACCAATCATGAAAACATGGTTTCCCATGACTTCAAATTCAACCTATTAATTTTAATCACTTTAAAAAAAAAAAAACTTTCCAATGAGTCAACATTCCTTATTGCAGATCTTATATATCCCCTTACAGTAGCACTTTGTGTGGAACTTTACAAATGAAAGGACACTTAAAATGATTTATGGATAATGTATCTTTTAAAAGTACTGATCAACTAACAGAAAAAATAAATTCCTGAAAAATATCTTCAGTATAAAAATCCTGGTAAATCTAATAATTCTTCTTATTCTCAGCACAAAGATAGTAATTCAGGCCATTTCTATCCAATACACACCACACTCCCACATACATAACCCCAAGCTTTTAACATTACCATAATAATAAGCACTAAAAAATACTTTAACATTAGGAAGTGCCTTTAAGATAACCTCACTAAAGGCTATCACTGTCCTTCTCTGTTTTGAAGAAATGCGATTAATATATTCCACAAAGATCCTAAAAGCAATATTCACCAGAATGCACTTGTAAACACGTCAATTCCGGTGATGGGACAGAAGGACTGTCACACATCTACAGGAGCAAACTGCACAAATTGTAAACTTTAATTCCAAATTCTAACTCCTGTAAACTCTAATGCTTCAGAAAATAAGCAAATTCCCAAGCAGGATGCAGCTTCTCCTTATGAAGCATAAGTTACTACCAAAAACCTGAAATTCTCCACACTAACATTTCACAAGTTTTTAACATCAAAATTCACTCAACTATTCACATAGCAAAATGAAGATCCGTCGTGGATATTCGAAACCTATCTCAAACATCAATAGGAAAGAACAAACAAACCTTGCGCCTACCTCCAACCGTTCTACAATACCCTCCCCCTTCCACCCATCCTCAGGTAACCCAGAAGCAAAGCTAGACAGCTGCCCTTGGCCTAGGCCTCCAGAAACCGCGGGAGTTGGGGCGGGGAAAGGCATCAAGAGAAGATCTCTTTACTGGGCTACTGCTCCCAAGCAAAACAACCAAAGGGATGGCAAGGAAAACTGGAGATGCTTTAATCCCGACAGAAAGGGGCACGGGTCGGGAGGAGGAGACTACACGTAATCCCGAGAGAAAGGACCGTGCAGGAGAGGAGGGGTGCGGAGCAGAAAACCAAGTATCCCCAGGTATCTTTCAGACTCCCAAAACAACAACAAACCGTGGTCTGTCTGCACTCAGAAGCACCAAATGGGGTCCCCGAGGCTGAGACAGTTCAGACGTACACCTTGGGCAGTAGATAAACGATGATAGGAGGGGAAGGGGGATGCCGAGAGAATAAGCCACTCAACGGGGAAGATAAAGCTTCTGGGGGTGATCGAAGAACAAAAAGAAAGGTGAGAGGGAAAAACACGAGAAAAGACAATGAAAGAAAAATAAAGACAGGAATCTGGTGCCTGGGCTGTGTCAGGTTACTGGGCTACCGAAAAACAAGGAACACAACAAAAGGGCACGGGAGAAGGACTGCAGAGAGAAGAGGATGGAGAAGAGATGCGGGGCGCGGCGGGTCGGACAAAGCGCCCACGGCGGCGGAACAAAGGGCCGGGGGCAGAATCGCGGGGGGCGGCGCGGAGAGACAAAGCGCCGGGGGCCGGGGGCACCGACCGGGCGCGGAGGCGACCGCGGCCGCAAGGAACAAAGCTGCGCGGGGCCCCGAGGCAGCGCCCACGGGCTGCGGCGCGGAGAGCGCGCGACGGACACGGCAGCCCCGGGCCCCACCGCTCTCAACGCCCGCACCGCCGGCCTCGTCGCTGCCGCCGCCCTCACGCGCCGGAGCTCGAGCCGCCGCGGCGCGGAGCGGGTAGCGCACGCCACATGCCGCCGCGCCCGGCGCACGCGACGCTGCCCCCGCGGCCTCCGGAGGCCACGCGTGCCGCGGCCCCCGAGCCCGCCGCCCGCCGCGGGCTGCCAGGCGCCCGCAACTTTCCCGGTTCCCAGCGCTCGGTTCCCCCAGACTTACCCTGTCACAACAGGCGCCATCTTCCACAAACTCTCGCCAAAACTCCAACCCTCGCGAGATTCCCCCCGCCGCCTTCCCTTGTCCCTCTCCCCCTCCCTTCCCTTTTTCCTCACTCCTCGGTTCCACCCAGCCCCCGCGCTCCTTTTCCCCTCGCAGCCGCCGCGAAGAGCTAGATGCCTCACGCCGCCCGCGGGGTAAGGGAGCCTGCTCGCTGCCTCCCCTGGAAACCTACCCCGGCGATGGAGCATGCGCAGGCTGCTCCTCCGCGGGCGAGCCTTCCCTGTGGTCCATGGGGAGCGCTCCGGTTGTCCGGGTTTTGGGACGCACCCTCTGGGACGTTCGTGGAGACTGAGCAAAACTGGAGGGGATTACTACGGGGACAGGGAATGGAGGGGTCAGGAGGCGGGGCCCGGGGCGGGGGGAGGGGTCCTGGGAAAATGTGCCGCGTTTCACAGGCCTGGACGCGCCACCTCCTCTAGTGCGTGTTTTCCGAGTGGCTTCCCGCTCTCTCTGCGTTCCCAGCCCTTTTCATTCATTCAAACGTTCTTTGGGCGCCTCCTTTATGCTAATCTCAGCGTTAGGTGCGCGAGCGACGCGGATCCCTGGGGTTCGGGAGAGTGACAGCAAAGAACTGACTTCATTCATTTCCTCGACCCCCGCCCATGCAAGTGGGGAGACAGACGTGATTTCAGCGTGGCCGGACCCTTCCAGAGCTCTGCCATCCTAGCTGCTTCTAGGGTGCGAAATGAGGTCAGCCCAAGGCCTCTGGCAGACACTCTAAGGTCCACCTTGCAAGCACACGCCAGGCTGCGGAGTAGTTTTCTCCAGAAGTGCAACTGTTGTGAGGACTGAGACCGCACTCCCCAACCCCAAACCCTGCTGCGCTCGATCGGGGCACAGCCTGCTTAGGAACTCATGGCAGCCGCCGGCCGGAGTGCGCCCGGGAGTCCACTAGGGTGGCGGCACAGAAGCCCGGTCCTCCGCGGGCCGGGCTCAGCCGAGGGCGGGCCTCGCTGCCCGAGGCGTACTTCAGGCCGCCCAAGTCCTGAAGCCCCCAGCGGACGAGGCACGGCGGGCATCGCATTGAAGGGCCAGGTGCAGGGCCTGCGCCTAGCCCGCCCTCGCCCCACCTGCAACACCCCCTGCTTCCCCTCCCGGCCTTTCTTTTCCTAGAGATTCCCAGATCCTGCACGGTCTCCCGCTGGGAGCCCCAAAACCCGGAGAACTGGAATCTGCCGCTCGAAACCTGCCGAACGCGCTGCAGGATTGGCGCGGCCCGCGCGAGCCGGACCGCGCATGTGCCCAATGCGGGCAGCCCAGTCTCACGCTACACTTCCTTCCCACCGCCTGCACTACTCGGCACAGACACAACACGGGCCGTGGGAAATTTCCTAAACCTCGCGAGAACGCGCCCCCTTGTTGCCTAGGCTTTCGCCCCAAATCTCGCGGAGCCCGGGCCGGACAGGTGTTTTGTCTAGCGGAGCTCGGGGCGCTGTTCCTGCCGCGCGTGCCCGGGTGGCGCGCGCGGGCGGGTTGGGAAGGGAGCGGCTCGCTGCAGAGGCGGGGCGGGTGGGCGCGTGGCGGGCAGCGAGGGGCGGGGGAGACCAGACGTCTGGCGCCCTGGGGCTCACGCCCCGGGTGGAAGCACTAGGGTCTGGGGAGCCGGTGATCGGGAACTTCCCTGGCACGGAGTAAGAAGGCAGGCTGTAGGACAGGAGGAGCCCCAGGCCGAGCGCCCGGGGAGGCTTCCTGGCGCGCTCCACGAGCCTGGTTCTTTCCTGAAATGTGTTAGACGTCGCGCCCCTTGCCTCCGGGAGCTGACGGACAGTCCCCACTGTCGGCTTTGATTCATGCTTCTGAGTCACCCAGTCTGGCTACTCCTTCACTTGCTTGCTTCAGAACAAGTTCGATCCCCTTATTTGCTCTCCTCTAGCAATGGGGTGTTGCCTTTCTAATCTACCCGCTGCCCCGGGAGTGGGGTTGGGTGCTGTTTTCTTCTCTTTCATATTGTCGCCTTGTGTAAAAAGGACACAGATACTTTTTTTTTCTTTCCCTCAGGCTCTTCCTAGCCTTGTGAAGTTTTATGCATTTTTCAATCCTACGAATATGACTGGAAATACTGGTTTTGCTTTCCTTCCCTTTCCCCATGCTTTTGTTGTAATGATCCCATTGTAGGTATTGTTTCATCGGGTGCTTTAGTGGCTGTTTTAAGTGCATCCCTTCTTTTTGGGTTATTTGTCCAATGAGACCCTGGTTATATTCTTCAGTCAGCCACAGTTCAGATTGGCCCTGGTGTGTTTCAGACCAGCCTAGCCTGACGTTATCTATGAAACCGGGTCTTCTGACATCCCAGACCCACAAATGTGGAATTCTGTTTTGACATTTGGGAAGACACCAGTTCTTGTAACAGGCTCATGTTCTGATTATGCGTTTGCCTGTTCCTTTGATTAAATATATATCATAGAAAAAGGGAAAATGGAAGAGCATGTAATAAGTGTAGTGTGTCAGTGCCAGTCTGCTTGGGAGCAGGAGGGCAAGTCCTTGATGAACTCATGTTCTTTGATGACTTCACCCCAAGAAGGTATTTCAGCCATCATCGCCTCCAAGCTCCTGATGGAATTGGGAACCTTGGCATCTAAAAACCCCAAGGACCTTGGAAAGTCGTGGCAGCCATAAGTCTAATCCTCCTCATGTTCAGCCCAAAGCAGCTATATTTCGAGCTTTCCCCTTCTCAATAAATGGCAATTCCATCCTTCTACTTAAGCCAAGAAGGAGTCACTCTTAGCCTCTTTTTCTCTCTCACATGCAAGATCCAGTCTGGGAGAAAATCATGCTAGTTCTATGTATTAGTCTGTTTTCTAAGATGACAGCAAAATATCTGAGGCTGAAGATGTGTAAACAAAGATGCTTTAGCTCACAGTTCTGGAGGTATGAGAGCATGGCACCGGCTAGCATCTGCTTGGCTCTATCAAGGCCTCGCAGCAGATGGCGTCACAATGGCAGAAGTGGGTGCATGCAGAAGGGACCACATGGTAGGACAGGAAACCAGAGATCCAGAAGAAGCCAGTTGTGTCCTCTGCTAACAATTCACTCTTGGGAGAACTCTGCAAGACCAGCATTCATTCCTTTAGAGGGCACTGCCCCCAGTGACCTCATTACCTCCTACTAGGCCCCATTTCTTAAAGGTTCCTCCACCTCTCACATCACCACCCTGGAAACCAAGCTTCCCACACGTGAACCTTAGAGGGACACACTTAAGCCATGTCCAAAACATAGCACTCCATCTTTTTTGGTTTTTGGTACCCGGAATCGAAGCACTCCATCTTCAGGAGACACAGTCCTACCATTTCTATACCTGCTTGGCTGCCAACCCAGTCTAACCCATTTATCTTTCCCATTTGGCTTACAGCATATCTCCTAATTGGTCCCTCTTTGTTCCATTCTTCAGTCTGCTCTCAACTCATTCTGAGCCTCTCCAGTGGTTTTCCCATTTTCCACTGAGGACTTCCACAGCCTGGTCGGCCTCTAAACTCCCCTCACCTCTGACTTCACCTCCTTCCCTTCCCCTGGCTCACTGAGCTCTGAAAGCTGTCTTCCCTGCCCTCCTGGGAAGGGTGTGCCCTAGGCACACTCTGGACTCCTTCCATTATAATGCAACAGAATGGGGGCGGGGACTTTTGTCAGTGTTGTTCATTGCTCAAGCCTCAGCCACTGGAATAATGCCTAGTGATCAGTACGAGGTGGCCAGTAAGTATTTGTAGAAAGAATAGTGCCTCCCATTTTAGGGCAGAGAAGAAATGATTCTGAAGACACTCAGCCTTCCGACTGAATTGAAAACAATATTGGGGTATCTCAGCAATTAGTATCCTGGTACCAGCCTGCCTGGGACAGAGAGAAAAGCCTGTGGATCTTTCTCAAAAAACAAAACAAAAAACAAGAAAGAAATCTTTACTTCTGGGTTGGACCAGCAGATGAAGCTGTACTAACTTGAAGAGTTTTCTTTACTATTTTAGAACCTCTGGAAGAAAACACTGTTAGCAGGAAATGAAGAGATAAGTATTGACATGGACTGCTAGTGAAAGTGAAAAATGAGTGTAATCTTTATGGAAACCATTTTAGTATAATTTACCACTACCTGTTAATCCTGCAATTCCATTTCTAGAAGTTTATACTAAAATATACTTGTGTGAAATTACCTATGATAGTAGTATCATCGATGGTATTTTTTAAGAGTATACTACTTGTAACCGTGCTGGATAGCACACACTGGTAATCCCACCACTTGGAAGGCTGAGGCAGGAGGATCACTGTGAATTCAAGAACAGCCTGAACCACATAGGAAGACCCAACCTCAATGTCAATGAGAGATAGGTTATAGGACTGGGGCATGTAGCCTAGCATGTGCAAGGGCCTGGGTTCCATCCCTGATGCATGCGCGCACACACACACACAAAGATATGCCTAATGTTTAATAATCGTGAAATGTATAGAATGAAAAGTGTGCATGTGCATCTGTTAATAAGCAGACATTACTTTTATGTACTTATATGAGGGAATCACAAAGTTTAAAACCATGGTATGAAGGAGGGTTAGATAAATGTATGTGTATTTGCCTATATGTGTCTAAAATAGCTCTGGACAGGGGCTGGGGATTTAGCTCAGTGGTTCTGCAGCCTGCCTCACAAGCACAAGGTCCTGAGTTCAATCCCCAGTACCTAAAAAAAAAGAGACAAAATTATGGGGCTGGGGATTTCGCTCAGTGGTGCCGCTGCCTGCCTCGCAAGCACAAGGACCCGAGTTTGATCCCCAGTACCAAAAAAAAATAAAATAAAATAAAATAGCTCTGGACAGATATACTAGAAATTTTAACAGTGACTGTCTGCCTATAAAGGTCTCAGCATTTGGAGGATGTAGATGAAGGGGTGGCTTTCTTACAATCCAATATCTTGAATTTTGTACCATCCATACGCATTGCCTACTGGGCTCACTTCAGCAGCACATATACATATGCATTGCCTATTCAAAATATAAAAAGTAAAAAGAGAAAAAACAGAATAAATATGCCACAGGCAAATATAAACAGAACAGTTTCCTTTCTTTAGTAGAATTATTTTCTAACAGAAGTTATGTACAGGGTCAGCCATCTAGGTGGAATTGAAGTGGCAGAGCTGACTCATG